TACGGGGCATTTGTAAATTCAAGTTATAACAAAGGGTCATATTAAATTTGATCCCTTTGAAATTTCGTGTAGTTTCTTTTGTTTTGTTTTGTTATTAGACCGTTGTATATTAGGCCTATAGAAAGCTTGTCTCATTGTGAATCACCTTTCATGATCACTTTAATAAAAAGTTTCGTTTCTCTCTTCAAGGCTTATGCTTTTGATATTATCTTGTTGTTGATTGAGTCTTGTGAGCAAGTCACTTGTCTCTTTGTTCTTTCAGTACAGAGTGTTTGTGAGATACAAAATTCTCTAGTTCGTCCATTGATTGAGCGAGTCAGTTACTATCCACATATCCATCGGTGAAAAGTTAAAAAGAAAAGTGATCGGGAAAATGAATGGAACAAAATCAGTTGATTAGCGACAAAAGATAACAAGAAGCTCTGTACCATATTAGTTGAGCTGAAAAAGCGAAATAGAAAGAGAGAAACCCGAGTTTTCTGTTACTCATAAATGCTCAAATTACATATTTTATTACAGAACTCTTATACAGAGTGTTAAGTAGTTTACACTTTAGCCATTCAACACATTGTACGAAATAACCAAATGATTTAGTAATCTGTTAATGCACACAAACAAATCGCACAAAGTCTTATACTCGTGAAGTAGAGGTACAACTAGTAAATGGAGTTAGTAGCGGCCAAAAGAGCAGCACCAATCCCAGACACGTCTTTTATCTTTTTTATCTCAATGTGACTTGCAAGCTTCTCACCAAGAAGCTCGACCACTGCATCTTGCATATACTGTCGATACAGTGGGTGATTCTCGTAAAGTCCACCGTCCATAGCCACAACGGTTCTCTTACCTGAACTCAATCTTTTGGTGCCTTTCTCAATCTTCTCCAGAATTGCTACTATACCAGCTCCTGCCAGTCGCCCTCCGCGTTTCACTACTGTGTCACACACTTCCGCCACCNTCTTCCTCNCCTCCAGATTCGCCTCTACCTATTTCCAATATTTGTCATTGTTTCTATCAGGTCTTCCAATTTATGGATGTGATTTAACAACTNACCTCTAAAACTTTGTTAAGGATTGATCCAAGAATCAGAAGATCATCTGTTTTGTCCTCTTGCATTTTGCATAGATCCATGGTTCTAAACAAAATATATAAATAAAAATGTCATTTATCAATTTACAACATTTTGATAGCTAATCAAGTTCCAAAGTTCCTGCCAAACACCCATGGCCACTTTGAGATAACAAATTTAAAGTACAGAATATAGGCCTGATCGAGCATAGAAATCAAACCAAACAAAAAAACTGAAAGAAACAGAGCCATATCCAAACCGTATACCGAATTACCCATGCCTAACCAAATCAGAACTTGGAGAAAGAGAGATAGTGAGNGNNNAAGTACCTGAGTGCAAAAGGAATGGATAGTTTTACAGGAACGGATTGTCCAAACAAGTGACTACTTTCACACATTTGGAGCAAAACCCTTCTTCCAATTTCACCAAGGTACATCCCTGATATCATCTTCTCATATAACTTCATCCACATACAAAAGTGAACAACTGTAAAACTTGGTAATGCCATAGAGTAACAAAAAAATATAAATAAAAACGTCATGTTTTTAGAGAAAGGATCAAATTATACTACCTGTTCACCACGATTGTCACTTGCGTCATCCATCTCTTGGTCAAAAATGGTTTGTGGAAGAATCTTAGAGAACGCTCCCCACTCCGTATTTATGATCTGATTTCAATCAAAACAGTTTAGCATGGAAACAACAACGAACCAAAGACTTTGCAGATATAAAGTACCGTTGTTCCAAAAGAAGATATGCTTTGGAGTTTAGGAATTGCATCCTTCTGATCTATGTAACAAGCGTTGGTCCCGGTGCCAAGAATCACACCCATCATCACATCCTCGTCCCAATACCTTGCTCCAGCTAATGTTCCCACTCCATCGTTTACCTTAAAGACACAAACATTAACACAATATGCACAAGACAAGAGTTTCCATCTATTATTTTTGAGAAAAAGGGACATACAAGAGCAGAAACTCGCATATCGAGTCCATGTGCTTCCATGGCTTCATTTAAACAAGATACCACGTTTTTCCCTTCCTGCAACAACGTTTTACTGTTATTAGAATTTCGAACCATGTAAGAACATGGGAAAAAAACAACTCACCATTCCAGTGACAGAGAAGCCTTTAGTCCACTTGATCAGTGTGCCTGAATCAATGGAGGTTTGATTCACAGGAAATGAGAAGGAAAATCCTATCTCCCTTTTCCTCCCTTGTTCCAACCGAAACCGCCCCGGAATATTCTCATTTTCAACAAAGCTTGCAAGCTTTGAAGCAATGAACCCGAAGAGTTCCTGAACACAATCAATCAAGTCATCGAATTAACACTAATTGAGGTATTAATTAAAGATATAAGTTGTCTTCTGAGTCATTACCTCACTTGTACCAGACTTGAGCTCCTGAGGAATAGATGTCGTCTCAGAATCAGTCGCTATGACACGCTCTTCGATTCCTCCTAATTGCACGCTACGCACACGAAAATTTGTACCACCTAAATCCAATGCATAGAACAACCCTTCCTCCTTCCTATAACCATTAATGGAATTAATCAACTTTTTTCTTGTTGAATCTATCTCAAACTTTTATCATCTTTAGATCACAGAGCATAATGTAAACAGAGAAAAGAAAGGAACTAATGAACTTTTCTTGCTGAATCAATTCCAAGGTCTAGTTAGTAAAGACCAAACTTTTATTAACTTTAGATCGCAAAGTTATAATGTAAAATACCCAGAAGGCAAAGCGTCGACATAAGTCAAGATCATCTTGAGATCTCCTCCTCCTTCGACAGCTAGACCGGTTTGCATGTCATCGGCAATGGCATCGGCTATGTTGCGTAGGAAATCTGTAGGAATGTTGCATTCCTTTTGAAACGTGGTCAGTACAGGACACGACGAAACCGAGTTCGATCCGAGGACGGACATCACGGAGATGTTGGAGCGTCGAGATGAGAAGGTGAAGGATGTAAGGGTTGGAGTAAAAGTAGGGAAAGCAAACATAAGAGACATTGTTCTCCGAGTTTGGTTCTGATTTGTAAGGGAAGATGATCTCAAAGTCAACTCTGTCAACTACACTTTATGAAGCATTTTTAATTGCAACTGTGCTTATTTCAATTTCTCTGTTTGCTCTCTTGGGTTGTAGGAGAAGCCGAGAAGAAGCCGTTTCTTTTTTGCTCTCCTTTTTTATTTTCTTGTTGTCAAAGTCATTTTTGTTGTGAATTACACTAATTAAATGAGATTCATATGTCTAGTGTTTGTGTAAATATAAACTATAGAGAGACAAGGAAGAAGTAAGAGAAATGAGAGAGCGACGAGAAGGCAGAAGTAGTTCCACACCTCTTATTGCTTCTTCTCTTACGAACATATGTGTATATATATACAGCGAGAGTAAGTCGGTGAATTTACTCTAATCAACAAGTTAATTAATATAAAACCAGTGGATGGAGAATCGTTATCCATATGGATAATTATCCATTTATAATA